TAGCTCTCAATGGCAGGCATCCAGAGGACCCCAGAACCAGCCCCCCCAAAAGCCCTGCTGAACTAAAGAGGAGCTCCATGGGGCCTAGTCCAGAACCCCACCTCACCTTCCCCAGGTCACCGAAGGTGCCTCCCCCAACCCCAGTCAGGACCTCATCTATCCCAGTTCAGGAAGTACCAGGAGCTTCTCCAGAGGAGGAGGAAGCCATCCAGAAGACCTCCGCCCACCTCCCACCGCCTCCCAGCTTCAGTGTCCGCCCTGCGTCTCAGGTTTACCCGGACAGGGCTCTAGAGCCAGAGCAGCCCAGAGAGCCCAGCCCTGAGACACCAGGCAGCCCAATGTCTGAACCCCAGACAAAAGGTCAAGCTGGAGCTCCGCCCCCAGCTCCTCCCTTGCCTCCGCCGGCTCCCCCACTCCCTCTGCCAGCATCCTCTCTGCCCCCAGCTGCTCCTCCTTTGCCCCCTACTGAGCATGCAGCCCCTCCACCTTCTGGATTTATGAAGACCTCCAAATCCAGCTCACCTGCTCTCAACCACAGACCCAACCCCCCCAGTGTGGAGGACACAGCCTCGGCAGAACCTGTTGACTGGAGGGACCCCCGGCAGATGGAAAAGCTTCGAAGTGAGCTGGCAGCCTATCTCTGTGGGTCCAGGAAAGAGGATCGGTCACTCAGCCACAGGCCGGTCCCTACGGTGGCCTTGAAGGACAAGGAGAACAAGAAGAGTAGCAGCCTATCAGAGGAGGAAGCTCCTCCAAGCCTGCCTGAGAAGATACACCCCTGTGCGCCTGAGAAGAGCCCCTCCAGTAGTAGCTTGTCAGAGAGAGAAGCCACCAAGAGCCCGGCCCTACCTCCTGTGGACTACATGCCCCAGGATACTCCAGCCCCCAGTGTCAGGCAGATCCGGAATAAGCTAGAGGCTCGGTTTGCCTCCTCCGCTGAGAAAGAAGCCAAGCCCAGCATAGCATCTCTGCCCCCCAAACCCCGGCTGGAAGGGGCAAGAACCTTTGAAAACGGGACTGATAGTGGCAGATTCCATAAGCCTGCCACCAAGAATCCACCCCAGCCGTCTACCACCTCTCTGCCTGCCCCAACACTCCAGTCCAAGGTTGTACCTGGTCCAGCAACACCACCCAAAGTCACACCTGGGCCAGCCACACCACTCAAGCCTACACCTGGGCAGGCCACACTGCCTAAGGCCTCACCTGGGCTAACCTTACCACTCAAGCCTATACCTGGGCAGGTCACATCACCCAAGAACACACCTGGCCAGGTCACATCACCCAAGAACACACCTGGGCAGGCCACATCATCCAAGAACACACCTGGGCAGGCCACACCACCCAAGAACACACCTGGGCAGGCCACACCACCCAAAGATGCACATGGGCAGGCCACATTACTCAAGGAAGCACCCGGGCTGTCCACCCCATCCTCTCAGCTGATGGCAGAGAAGGACCTTGTCTCCGTGAGGCAGAGAGAGAAGCCAGACTCTCAAGAAGACACAGTGGCTACCCAACTGTCCACAAATGGCGCCCTCTCTCCTCCAGCTATCCCACCAAAGTTGTCTACCGGTGGAGAAGAGGCACCATTTCTCTATAGACCCCATCGCAGCCAGAATAGCCACAGCCGAGGGGTTGCTGTAGTGACTCCCACTCGGAACAGAGGGGAGGCTACAGACTCAGGGGACCTACTGGACGAAAAGGAGCTCCAAAACCATCCAGCCAAACCTCTCACCCCGGTCCAGTCACCCGACCAACTCCTCAGACACCCGGTGACTGGGGAAGTGGTAGAGCGGGGTTCCCCAATGGCCCTGCTCCTCGCAGCCAGACAGAGGGCACAGAAGTCTAGGGCTGGAGGGACTGCTATTGGACGGTCCTCTTTGCCAGGGAGTCTCCGTGATCATAGCAACCAATCAGAGGCCAGCTCTGACAGCATCTTTTACAGAGGTAGCCGGCCTAACTCCTTCATTGTGGTCCCTAAGGTGCCCAGTGAGACAGAGGACTCCCAGCTGACCGCAGCAGGGCCCACTGGGCCCAGTCGGTGGAAGCCCCAGCAGGGACGAGACACACAAGGCTCAGAGCCAGCCTACAGGCATGGGTGGACCAAGGCCGAATCCCCAGCCCCTGTGGCCCGGGAAAGACCAGCTCCCTCAAGCTTACCCCAGGGCCGCACCCTCCCCAAGTCCTTCTCTTCTCCGCCCTCTCCTTCCTACAAGAGGGAAGAGGAGGAGGAGGAGGAGGAGGAGGAGTTCAGCTTTGATATCATTCCTCCACCGCCAGAGTTCAGCAATGACCCCGAGCCTCCGGCCCCTGGGCCGCAGCATCAGGGCCGTCGCGGGTCCCCACCCAGGAACAACTTCTCTGACTTGGGGCAGTCTCGGAGTCCCAATCCGGCTCCTGGCTTCTCGCGCTTCCCGGGGACTCAGTACTCAGAGCTCGGGGGCCTGGATCGCTTCTCGGGCAGCGGACGATCGCTCATCAAGAAACGCCTGTACGTCGGGGAGTCCCATCGCAACTCCGGGACGCCCCGTGGCTCTACTGGCCGCAGCTTGAGCTCCCCTAACTGCTTCGGACCGCAGCCGGGAGGACCTGAGATGCGACGGGTCAACTCTGGGGGCCGAGCGGCCCCCGGTGGCCTGCACGCACGGAGGCTGTCGCTGGAGGGCGCCCGGGGTGCGGCCGAGGTCAAGTACAAGGCGCCCGGCGGAGGAGGTGGTAGTGGCAGCAAAACTGGCGACTACGGCTTTGTCCCTGCCAAAGGCAGCAGGTGAGCTGGGTTCTCTTAAGATGGAAGGATCTCTGGGCGTGCGTGAACAGAGTTAATGCCAAGGCCATGGGCCATCGCCTTCGACTTACTAAGAGAAGAAGGCCCAGATACCTGGAGAGGGTGCTGTTGGCTAGTACCTTCCTTCCCAGCACCTTCACCCACCTCATCCTCTGGAGTTTTAGGGCTTCAAATCAGTGTAGACGAAAGGGAGACCTAGCGGTCCCGGGTGGAAAGACAGATCCAGACCCAGGCTGAGAGCAAAGGAATTTGAGTGAGCAGAGGGTACCAAAAGGGGGTTCTGGGGTTCCACTCTGGAGGTCAGAAATCCAGCACGTCACATTTTAAATTGTTCTTCTCTGGGGAGGGCGGTGGAGTGAGGACCAACCAGCTGCCTGTGAACCTTCACCTCTCTGCTCTCTACTCCTTCCAGGTCTCCTCACGGCAACACCCACTATGGAAGCCCCATCAATACGTTCACGGTGAGGCCTGGGACCCGCCATCCCATCTCCTATGCCTACCCTGGGACCCATCGGAAAGCTGCTTCCTGAGCCACGTGGTTCATTCGGCTGACTTCTAGGGGTTGAATCGGGGCAGTTGTTTTGCGGGGGGGTGGGAAGTCGCACAAGATATTATAGGTTCCAGCTCAGACACCACTGAGAGCCTTTGTTCTGGAAGACAGACAGACAGAAACATCTGTCTCTGAATGCACCAAGAGACAGCTTGGCTAGGGACTGTTGGCAGATGGGGGGTGGGAGGAGGGAGACAAAGAGGAGCTTTCTGGGCCCTGTTTCTGCTATCTGGCACTGTCTGCATTAGCAAGGTTTATTGAAACCCACAGGGTTTGCCTGTCAGAACCTCTTAAAGGATGGTGGAGGTTGTCTTTAACCTCTGCCTGTTACACTGAACAGGTAATGGCTGGCTTTCCTAGCCACTTGGAGATGATTCAAGACCATTTGCACAACACAGGGCTCTGCATCAGAAGCCTTATGTACCAGCCAGGGCCAAGCAGGGTCATTGCTCCTTAGCGCTTACTCACAAGGAGGCCATGAGAAGTTTGGGGTGGGAGATGGAGGATGAAGGCTTGCTTTTCCATTCAGGCCCATGAAGTCCTGGTTCAAGGGGTTGAGCCCAAGGAGCTACAAGGTCTTGGAAGTACGGAGAACATTGGAGATAGGTCTTGTAAGGTCAAGGCAGTTTGCTAGGGCCAGTTCAGAGCAGGGGAGACTTGTCAATCGGGTGACCATTTGTCCTCTGCCTGGGTGGTCCAGGGTTATACCAGTGAACTGGAATATATGTGTAATATATTCTAATCTGTGTCTGTGTGTTATGTCAAATATAACAGGAACAATAGTTCTTCGGGTGGGGAGTGGCTGGACCTGGGACCAGATCAGGGCAGATGAGAAAGGAAGGGCAGAGTGGCTTGCCTCAGATGAGCAGGGGTAGACAAGAGGAAGAAGCCCTCTCTGGGGCTTCGTGACCTGTGGTGCCAGCTGCAGTACCAGGCGGCTGGGACAGTGGGTGAACCATTTCAGGTAAAGACCGTGCAGAGATGGCTGGCACCCAGGTGGCTCGGCCGGCTGACAGCTTCGCTGTGCTCACAAAGCCAAGCCCATCCACACAACACTGGTCTATAATGTGTTTTCCCTCAGTAGAGTTTTAGAAGAGTTTACTAATTCATCTGCTGCTTCAAGAAGAGTAGGCTGTGGTCTCCCCGCAGTGGCGTGCTCTGGGGTGGGTGGAGAAGCACTTGGTCTCACCTGACGTGGGAAATAAATGGCTAGTTTGGACTGGCCTCTGCTCTGCAGCTGTAGATTGGTGACTTAAGTCTACCCAGGCATCACGGGATAGTAGGAGCGCTCAGCTGGACAGTGCCAAGCACAGGGGACCCGGCCCAGAGGTGAAGTCACATGGTAAAGCAACTGTCCTTAAGCAAGTCTCTCTGATTGCCTGAACCTTAGATTCTTCTCCTGGATAGTAACTGTACCTCATCAGTGTTGAGGAATGGAGACAGCCCTGTGTTCCTTCTGGGCAACCCTGACAATTCGGTTTGTGTCCTGGGCCAGGCCATAGTCTAAAGCCCGGCAAGGTACAGACCTATAATCCCAGCACTGAGAAGGTACAGACAGGAGCATAGAGTCTAAGGCCATCCTTGGCTACAGGAGACCCCCCCCCCAAACTGAAACAAACAAATAGCACAGGAATTGGGAACAGAAGTAAAAATAATCACAGTTTAAAAGAGGCAAGATGTTAGAATAGGAAAAGAGAATACAGCAGCTGGGGGCTAGCACAGCTGGTAAGGTGCTTGCCTACAAGCATAAAGACTTGATCTCAGCCCCAGGGTAGAGGGATGTCTCCCCCATGAAGCGCTTGCTTTATAAACACAATCCCCAGAGCCTACATTAAAACACTATGCTTGGTGCCTGCTTGTAATCCTGGCACCAAGACGGGGGATCTGGCCACATGCCCTCGCCCTAGTTTTTAAGACCCAGGCCAATGAGGGAACCTGTGTCAAGGCAGATGACCTTCCTGGGGGTTATGCCTGAGGCTGCCCTCCAGATTTCACACACACCTGCCGATACAAAGGGGCGCACACAAGCCACGCATGGTGTTGCGCGTCTTTAATCCCAGCACTAGGAGGAAGAAGAGGCAGGTGATCTCTGTGAGTTCAAGGCTAGCCTGATCTACATGGCAAACTCCAGAACACAGAAATGTTTATTATTATTATTATTATTATTATTATTATTATTATTATTTTAAATGCTGGTGAGATGACCCAGGGTAAAGCAAGCTTGCTGGTCTGGCAGCCTGAGTTCAGAACCCAGGGATCTGCATGGTAGGAGGTGAGAACTGACTCCAGCAAGTTGTCCTCTGACTTCTACATGGTTTTCTCTGCTCACATGCACAAAATATTAAAATACAAAAGGCTGGTTGTGGTCGTGCAGGTCCACACCTTTGATCCCAGCACCTGGGAGGCAGAGGCAGGAAACTCTCTGAGTTCAAGGCCAGCCTGGGCTACATAGTGAGAGTATCTCAATAATTAACAATAATAGCAATAACAATAACAGGACTGAGGATGTGGTTTAGTGGTAGAGTGCAGTAGTTTCCATCTCTAGCAAGCTAGGAAACTGAAACAGGAGGATCACTATGAGTTCAAGGCCAGTCTGGGATACATAGAGAAACCCTGTATCCTATAAAAATGCAGTAGGGCTGGAACCCCATGTGGTGTTGCTAGGGCGTATAAAACACTGGCCTCCATCCAAACTGTGATCCTCTTACATTATGGCGGGCTCGCCATAGTTCCCGTAAAACCATGTCTTTCCCAAACCCCTGACCTGTTGGGGCACGCTCTGCAGAGCTGTTTCTGACCACCACACCTCCTCCGCCTTAGTTTTCTTCAGAAGGGGAAACTGAATCCATCCGAGAGGTCATCTCAAGATGTGTTGGGGAAACAGATACATTTTCTTCTTGGAGATTTTTTTTTGGGGGGGGGAGTCTTGGGGTGATGCAGCCAGCAGGCAAGGTTTCCAGCCTCTCCATCCTTCAGGGTCTGTTCCCTGTCTCTCATGGTCCTTCCATATCTGGCCTCTTTCCCCTCTGTTTTGCCTCTGAACTTCTCTCTTCATTTAGACCTGGAGGTGTAACAGGGAGTCATGGAGGTTAACCCAGGATAAAAACCCCATGTTTGCTGCTTTTTTTTTTTTTTTTTTTTTTCTGGGCAAGGTCTCATGTAGCCCAGACTGGCTACAGATTCCTATGTAGCAAGAATGGCAGGGCTGGAGAGATGGCTCAGTGGTTAAGGGCACTGGCTCTTCCAGAGATTCTGAGTTCAATTCTCAGCAACCACATGGTGGCTCACAACCATCTGCAATGGGATCAGATGCCCTCTTCTGGTGTGTCTGAAGAGAGATACAGTATACTCATACACATAAAATTTAAAAAAAAAAAAAAAAAAAAGCTGGGCGGTGGTGGCACACACCTTTAGTCCCAGTACTTGGGAGGCAGAGGCAGGTGGATTTCTGAGTTCGAGGCCAGCCTGGTTTACAGAGTGAGTTCCAGGACAGGCAGGGCTACACAGAGAAACCCTGTCTCGAAAAACCAAAAAGAAAAAAAAAAAAAAAAAGAATGGCCTTGGACTCTTAAATCCTCTTTCTCTCCACCTTCAAGAGTGCTGGATACCATCAGGCCTGACTCTGAAGTTATGTTTATTACTTTTAATTCTGTAGTACTGAGGGTTGAACTCAGGGCCTCCGACATGCTAGGTATGCGCTCTACCATTGAGCCATACCACCTGCTGCCCCTGCTAACGAGCCGTGTGCTTACATTTTCACTAGCTGGTCTGACAATGACGGGTCTGGACTTCAGCTGTGTGAGTCTGACCCTTTGTGGTGTCCTTGCCTGAGTTCTTGAGAGCTTCCCATCACACAGATAACCATTTCTACACGTTATCCTGGCCCTCCACCCATCCACCGTTCATGGACTTCAGGTTGAAAACTCCCGACGTTGCAGCCGTAACTACCAACACTTACATAACCCTGACTGTTGGGAAGGTTCGCTCAGTCTCTGGTTGCTTAGACAGTCGTCTAACATTTACTGGGGTGTTAAGACTCCTGTTTGCATTGCAGTGATGAGGAAATCAAGCCTCCAACGCAGGAATCAGTTGCTCCAAATAGCCGAGCTGACTCACCCTGGCTCTCCTGTGTGCTCACAGCTGCCTGTCTTCGAGCTGTGACCATTCCCTCTGGCTCGGCCTTTCCCGAGGGCTCTGACTAACCCACATACTTTCCATTCACCCAGCACAGTGGGATGGGGAGAACAGGGGAAAGCCTTGAACTCCCAGTCCTCCTGCTTCAACCTCCCAGTGCTGGATGCCAAATGCCACATCTGTGTTATTGATTTATAGATTGTTTTTATTTTTGTGGTACTGGGTATTAAACCCAGTGGGACAGTTAATTTTGGAGCCAAGGGGGTGAGGGCCGAGCTGCCAAGCAAGCCTGTCCTGACCTGCCAACCCTCTGAAACTATGGCCCCTTTCATCTCTACAGCTCAAGGGTGGGGCCGGCTTCTCAGCATTAGTCAGCTGACCTGGATGCATTGAGACGCCACGGCCTGTACCTCCTTCCAAAGGCCCTGGGCTGCCAGGCGCTGTGGAATTGCTTTGGAATGTCTTTAGTTACCTTTTATCCAGGAAGGTGAGAGATGGCCCTGTAGGATGGGGACTCATGATAGTATTGGGACTGGAGCTGTGCTGGGACAGGAGGGCCACCATTTGCATGCTTGTCACATTCAAACACTTGACAAAGGTATGTGCCCTTTGTCATAAGTGACCTGACATAAGTGCTGGGCTGTTGTGCTTTGGTGACATCTCATGGGCATTTACTGCTGCTCTTGACGTTCACTGTCACCCGATTCCAGGGTAGAGGGAAGGAGAGTGCACCCGCTGTGCGTTTGCACTGCTGTCCTAGAAGCAGCCTGCGAGCACTCCTGAATCAGCCAGCAGGTGGCGCTATGCTCACCGATGTCTGTACTTTGCCGGGCACCAATGAGGTTCTGAATTCAGATTTAGATCCAAGGGTTGTTGGTTGACCTGGCCTCTCGTGGGTATGGGATACACTGGAGTTCTTGTGAAGATAAGCTCCTGAGGCTTATTTCTAACCGGTTCCCAGGTATGGCAGGAACACACCCGAGACCTGTGTGCTCAGCCCTCTCAGCAGACAATCTCATTCGGCTCCCTGTGAAGAAACTACAGTCCCTACAGTGCAAGTGTCTCAGGCCACACAGCTGGAGGGAGGCGGGAACCACCTCTGATCTGCTCTCTGCCTCTAAGGCAGTGTGGTGTGTGTAGGTGTGCCTGCACCTGTCCAGATTCTTGTTCCAAGAAAGACAGACGAGGGTACAGGAAGGTGGCTTGTGAACAGTCAGAAACTCAGCCAGTCAGACTGAGAGTAAGTCCCTGGTATTATCCACAGCGTTCAGAGGCATTTTCTTTTCTTTTTTTTTTGTTTTTTTGTTTGTTTGTTTGTTTTTGATTTTTCGAGAGAGGGTCTCTCTGTGTAGCCCTGGTTGTCCTGGAACTCACTCTGTAGACCAGGCTGGCCTCGAACTCAGAAATCCACCTGCCTCTGCCTCCCAAGTACTGGGATTAAAGGCGTGTGCCACCACCGCCCGGCCAGAGGCATTTTCAATCCCATAGGCATCAGCTCACAAGGTGGGCTCTGTGGACCATCACCACGTCCACGCACCAAAGACACACCTTGTGGTACTAGGAACAGACACTGGGGCCATTCTTGCTTGGTGCAGGCAAGTGCTCTAC